TAAGCCACGGACGCGACGCTGATATCGGTGTCAGTAACACGCCTTATACCCCCTCCCCCTTCGCTCGCTCCTCCGCTCTCCTCGCTCGCTGCAGCTGCGCGCGCACCCCTCTCTCTCGCGCGCCCGCCTTCTCTCTCAGTCTCCCGTCGAGAGCGGGTCGTGAGGGGGAGTAAAGTTAAAATCCGTTGGCATTCGCCAGTGAGTTAACGTAAACTCCCCCGTGTGATCAAATTGCGATTCCCAGGAACCATTACACCATAAAGGCACCATAGTGTGATTAATAAATATAATAGTGCGAATTAATAAATACCCCTCATAGCATCACCCTGTGTATTCGCACTTAACCATGTTCACCCTCGGGGAAATGCTTGGGAGTTTTTTTATTCCAGGCGTCTTTGCCCATCCCGTCTTTCTCCGCAGGTGCTCGCGTGGCGTTAAGGCCGTGGCCCATCCACTCTTTCTCCGCAGATGCTCGCGCCACGTCGGCGCCGTGACCCACCCCCTCTTTCCCCGCTGATGCTGCATCACGTAGGCGCCCTGTCAACGTTAGATCGCTATATCCCCCTTTCACCTCATGACCCTTATAAAATGCCGTAACGTTAGCCATGCCAGCTACACTGTTACCAGTTCAGGAAGCGTCTGGTCATGGCCACGCCACGGATAGACCCCAGCATTGTCGAAATCACCGACATCATAAGGTACCCTGCCGCGGAAGAGGCCTTCCTTCGTGAAATCGGACTGTCGCCTGCGCCATCGCTTCGACCGGCAGCACATTCTTCCCGGGACGACGGTGTAAAGCGACGAGTGGGCCGCGTACCAGTGCATACCCAGACTTGTGGATGCCAACGGAACACCGCTAAACTTGGAGTGGCACACCGTGAACCACAGTGTCAACTTCGTTGATCCTACGTCAGGCGCCAACACGCAAAGGATTGAAAGCAAATGGCAAAAGGCCAAGCGCCGTCTCGTTCGCAACAGCAACAAGACGACTACCTCACTGATGCCGTCTCACCTCGCCTGGCTTGGGTGGAGATCAATTAACGCACGTCCCAAGGTGAGAGACCCTTCTCTTCGATTAATGGAGGTAATTGCTCGCCGGTATCCAGTTTAATTGTGATTAGCGCGTAGTGAGACATATTGTCTTTTTTTCTTATGTTTATGTTGTCATTATGTTGTATTATTATTATTGTCATTATTATGTTTATTATGTCATTTTATTCTTATTGCTGTATACTAAGCTCTTGAGCTAAGAAACAATACACAATCATTATTGGGAATTTTGGTAGTTTGTGCTTATTGTGGGTGGGGCCCTGTAAGCGACGGTGGCTCGTCGGCCGGGTCCCATTTACAGGTACGCGCAAGTCGCGCTTAATTCGCTCCATCTGCTTCGATAAAGCAGCCTTCCAGGCGTACATAGCTGTCGCATATCCAGCATACTCCGATTAACCAGCCTTGGAACCCTTATTCATCACATGTATACACGAGTCCGAACGATATGTCTTGTGCTGACACAGCTAGGGGAAGCGTAGCGTCCCCCGCCGTAGCGCGCGGTCGACGCGACACGATCAGCTGAGAGGAAAAAAAAAAGTAAGGGGGGAGGGGGGCAGCGCATTACCTCCTGCGACTCTATTCAGTTTTCCCAGTCATCCCCAATACTGAGACGCGATATATTACTCGCACAGCTGCGCACACAGCAAGAGAACGCGCCTTAACTTCTGTAATGGGCAGTTCATTCCGTTAATTAAAACGGCCTCTTAATTGTGCAGCAGCGCCACGCTCGACTTCTGCTAGGCGCGGTTCATTCCGTTAAGTAAAACGGCCTCTTAATTGCGCAGCAGCGCCGCGCTCGACTTCTGCTAGGCACGGTTCATTCTGTTAATTAAACTGGCCTCTTAATTGCGCAGCAGCGCCGCGCTCGACTTCTGCTAGGCGCGGTTCATTCCGTTAATCAAAACGGCCTCTTAATTGCGCAGCAGCGCCGCGCTCGACTTCTGCTAGGCGCGGTTCATTCCGTTATTTAAAACGGTCTCTTAATTGCGCAGCAGCGCCGCGCTCGACTTCTGCTAGGCGCGGTTCATTCCGTTATTTAAAACTGTCTCTTAATTGCGCAGCAGCGCCGCGCTCGACTTCTGCTAGGCGCGGTTCATTCCGTTAATTAAAACGGTCTCTTAATTGCGCTGCAGCGCCGCGCTCGACTTCTGCTAGGCGCGGTTCATTCCGTTATTTAAAACGGTCTCTTAATTGCGCAGCAGCGCCGCGCTCGACTTCTGCTAGGCGCGGTTCATTCCGTTAATTAAAACGGCCTCTTAATTGCACGGCAGCACCACGCTCGACTTCTGCTAGGCGTGGTTCATTCCGTAAATAAAACGGAATCAGTAATGCGCGGTTCATTCCATTAATTAAAACGGAATTAAAACGTCCTCTTAATTGCACAGCAGTGCCGCGCTCGACTTCTGCTAGGCGCGGTTTATTCCGTTAATTAAATTGGCCTCCTAATTGCACGGCAGCCCCACGCTCGACTTCTGCTAGGCGCGGTTTATTCCGTTAATTAAATTGGCCTCTTAATTGCACGGCAGCCCCACACTCGACTTCTGCTAGGCTCGGTTCATTCCGTAAATAAAACGAATTCTGTAATGCGTGGTTAATTCCGTTAATTAAAACGGAATTAAAACGGCCTCTTAATTGCGCAGCAGCGCCGCGCTCGACTTCTGCTAGGCTCGGTTCATTCCGTTAATTAAAACGGCCAGCGTCGCTCATGCACTCGCGAAATGCACCGCGGATAGCACCAAACTCTTACGGGGAAGCCACAACTACAGGAGAAATTTTCAGCCAGGAAATGCACCGCGAATAGCACCAAACTTACGGAGAAGCCACAACTACAGGAGAAAAATTTTTAGCCAAGAAATGCACCGCGGATAGCTACAAACTCTTACGCAAAAGCCACAACTACAAAAAAAACTTTTCAGCCAAAGTTAGCGGCAGTCTGGCAACAACCACTCTAAAGTCTGGCAACAAACTTACGCACCGCCAAAAGGAACCTTGCCTGCGAGTAAATACGGTAGTCATGCTTAATCCGAAAGAACGGCACTTAGTCAGGTCTAATCTACCTTATGGCTTTGCCATCTCGGATCGGACTGGCGTGTTCACTACAATCATAACTAATCTTGCCTAATCCCACTTAATAGCTATGTATCAGTATAGGTCGGTATCTACTCGTATTAAATTAGCTTGTCCAAACTGGATTAAGCTGCTACATAGTGGCTTAACTAGGCTTTTTCCAAGCACACCCTGGTTAAATCATGCGGGTCAATTGGTGTTAATGAGCATGAATCAGTATTGATTTGTATAGATTACTATCGTTTTGTCTCGTGCTTATTTAGCAAGAGCTATGATCAATTTTTATCAGCAAGCTAGCCGAAGTGTCTATTCACTACGCACGCCTTAACACAAAGCTTAACATGATTAATATATGGGGTTTAACGTCCCAAAACCACTACATGATTATGAGAGACGCCGTAGTGGAGGGCTCCGGAAATTTCGACCACCTGGGGTTCTTTAACGTGCACCCAAATCTGAGCACACGGGCCAACATTTCCGCCTCCATCGGAAATGCAGCCGCCGCAGCCGGGATTTGAACCCGCGCCCTGCGGGTCAGCAGCCGAGTACCATAGCCACTAGACCACCGCGGCGGGGCCAAAGCTTAACATCCTCTTTGTAAAAGCAGCTACCTACAATGATTGGGTGATGCAACTATAGCGAGACAAGCAACCCTTTGTTCAACAGCATGCTCACTGCCAGCGATAAAAAAAATGTACGGCTGCATGCTGGATGAGCTAAGAACTAACCTCGCATATCTTGGTGCTGCCAGTCGGATGCCAGCGGTCGCGTCTCATTTGTGCTTACCATTTTTTTTATCGCCTGTTGTTATGAGAGAAATGAAATGTCCGCTGGCCTTTCACGTGTGACCACAAGTGGCATACAGCAGCCTGTCATAACGGCCAAAGAACGGATCTCGATACGTCAAGAACAACATGTTTACAGCACTGTTCCTGCGCGCGTGCCCCCCCCCCCCCCACCCCCCCCCCAACACTTTTGAACCAATATTGGCCCCAGGCGACGCAGAGTCTTTTCAAGGGTGTTTCCACCCAGGAAACAGAGGCGCACGCACATCGAGGCACCCTATTGAGTCGCAAATACTACTTCTGTAGGTTCCACCGCTGATAGCTCTCTCACGCTATAGCAGGAGTCTCACAGGGCACACATCTTTCAGTGCTTGTCTCGCCTTTTCCTTGCAGTCAGTCCAGTTTTGCACCGCAGTTTTCAGCTTAAAGAACAAAAAAAAAAAGCCTCTCACATGAATTTGAGTTGTAGGTAGGTGAAGGCATAATTAGTATATACACGACACACAAACCGGTGTTGAAATCGGGCACTCTCGATGCTCTCAACTGTTGATATAGGGTCGCCATTTAATAAACCAGACAGCAAGCGCTCCTTTCCGCATGTAGTTATTTGCATAAATACCCATTGTGTCTTCCTTGAACATATTCTAAATAAACACAATGTGCACATGCTTTTCATTGTGCAAATACTTAGATAAAAGAATATGACAAGTATTGTGAGCATTGTGCAATGGTAATTTAGGCCCATCATCAAAGTAATGTAACGGCAACAATGAAATTAAACACGGTGCTGCCCAAGGTAATCACAGACAAGAAGCAAAAAGTCCTCCACTTCTTGTCCACGTTGCCTTTGCTCAGCAAAGTGTTTCATGATGCATGATCAATGACCCAGCATATCCATTGTTGAAGCAACAATGGCAACAGTGCAAGATGCAAGCCTCGTTTTGGTTAGCGGTATTGCGGCCCAGCTTTTCCTCTAGAATCAGTATACACTAACTTTGTGTGAAAGGAAGTAGAATTGGCTGAGCCAGGTGGTCAGCAGCTGAGCACCGTAGACACTTGTAGCTTTGCAGGGAAGTAGAAATAAAACAAGTGGCAAGATTGGATCTGTGGCGACATGGTTTATTATTTTTGTGGCTCACACAAGTTTAAGCACGATGAGCAAAAATTAAGTTTTTCTCATAAGAGCTCATTCAGGTCAGGCACAGGGCAATATGACAGAAACTGAACCCAGCAATTAACAATCCAGCAACACATATTCACAACCTAAGGGCGACGCCAACCATTCTTGTTCTCGTATGAGAAATATTGTACAACTGATGCAAAACTTTCAGGATGCAAGAAAAAGATTGTATATGACCACTCACACATACTGGATACTTTCACGGCAATAAATAATTTGTTTAGAAAGTTATACAACAAAGGCATGAGAGTAATACAGAGGAGGAATTTACGATGTAGGTCATATAAGCGATTGAAGGGGTCGCCCAGGGATCTTGAGGGTCTATAACAGTAGTAAAGCACCGATTCCAGGCAACGTGGTCTTCACTATGGCTAAAACTTTCCTTTGAAATGCAGCCTACATTTCTGAGCTGGTATACAATTAGAGTGCAAATGACAGATGTATACCACAGGAGGTAATCACAGAGTTCCGGTCAAAGATATTTGGACCCAGGGGGAGCTTATTACTCACGGCAAGGTTTTCTTTCTTTTGTAAGTTCATAATTTGACAGTTTTCAGTGGTTTTACCTACAGGCCGGGTTATCATTTGATGCCCTTAAGAAACTTCTGTACATTAAAACACCCCAGAGAGTACAGCCACTTCACAGGTACTCCTAGGCAATGGGATAACAGTTTATAGAACAAGATGGGTTCAGTTCAGTGAGACGATCAGAGTGTGCACATTATTTTTGTGCAAACCTTGTAAATACTGAAACTTACGAACAGTAGCGAAAAACACCGATGAAAATAAACAAGCAAGTGCATGCATAGCAAGGGACTAGATTAATCCACAAAAAAGATGGGACCCAAACGCCCTGCATCTTCACAAACATGCCAGCAGAACCTTGTTGATGCAAGAAGTGAAGCACAAAACAAGTGTCCGTCCCGCAAAGCAGTTGCAGCACTTTGAAGACAAACTTCAGAAAAAATTTCATCCAATAAAATAACAAACACAGGAAACTAAAAAGGAGACAGGAAGGCAGCTAGATCGTTCAAATTTCCACGGCAACATGCTGTACAAGGTGTTACTCCTACTACTTACGAAACGGTTTGGTGCTGCCAGAAATTGCGGCTTTTTTCAGAATGGCCACACTGTCTATTGGGCACGTCAAGCGTATCTGCCAGATCATAAAGTCAGAAATTGGGACGCGGGTTAGACTATAGTACGATTGGATTCGGGTGCTGTGCTATGCTCGTGACACAGCGTAGATTGCTAAAGAAAAAATGAAAACCTACAGATGAATCACAATGCAGAACACAGAGTTCCTGTGGAAACGACTCCTTCAGTTCTCGCTGAGGAAGGCTGGAAAGGCAGCCACTAAGCCCTGCAGACTGGTTCTTCTAGACGACGCCTCTGTTCCTGAAGGTGTAGCTGCCATTTTGCAGAAAAGATCAAAGTACAGCGTGCCGCCAACGATTCAGGCACACAATCTATTCACGTTAAACAGGAAGTTGGCTTATAAAGCTAGAGATGACAGTGAGAGATGCCTGTTAGATGGTGTGGACAGCATTATGAAAACTGCACGGAAAACGGACCTTCTACCAAAGGACAGCACACAGCATGTCATCTCCTACTTTGAAAGGAACGACCTACGATTACTACAAGGAGATAAAGAAGGCAGATTTGTGGTGATGTCTGCATCAAGGTACAAAGAAAAAGGCAACTGAAGCATTATCAAAGAACTTTGTACAGGTGAGCAGCAAGACTTGCAGAATGAAGACAAACGCGATAGCTATGTGCAATGAGATGCAGCTTCCTTGATTAGCCGCTGCCATCAGTAACTGCAAGAAAGAAACTTTAGACGTGTTCTTCACTGTGACGGCGCACAAGCTACACATGCCATTCAGGTGCATTGTCAGTCAACACGGTACTTGGTTACAGCAAGGTAGCTCATTTTTGCTTGACCACTTGCGAGCGCTTGAGTTGTGTGACCCATTTTTAACAAGAGATTCGACAGACGTCATTGCTTTTTTTAGAAAAGCAGAAGGAAATAGGTTTTACATTTTCCATTGATGTCGGATTTATTCTACTCCGTACCGCATACAGAGCTGTTTAAGTCTGTCAGACATTGCATTCAGTATAATGGAACTATCGCATTTCAAAACTCTGTGGGCATTAGTGTGAGAAAGTTTGTTGCTCCTCAAATTCTACCTTCGGTCGACGGTTGTTTCCTTTGACTCAGGCTTGCATATTTAAAAGAAAAGGATGTGCATAGGATCCTGTGTTGCCCCTGTGCTGTGAAACATTTTTTTTTATCCTCTATTGACCGGGAGTTACAATCCACGTTAGACAAAGGCACTGTCCTGCGAATTTGTAGATACGTGGATGACTTTTTGGTAATTTTAGCAACTGATTTTAACGTGGCCTATGACGACACCGTGCAAAGCGTATTGTGCTGCTTTACGCATGAGTTGCCGGTGAACAATCGTCTGCAATTTTTAGACAAATATAATGTGTTGTGAAGGACACTTGTGTTGGATATTTGCCAAGAGCAAAGAGAGTTGTTACCGTATGGCTTGACACACTCTAAGACTGTTAAGAAAGCCATCTGTTCTCTTTGCCTTGAATCTGCCCTGACTAAGTCCTGTGAGTACATGCTTGAGACGAGCTTTATCGCCCAGATTGATAGACTAAAAAACGCTGGCTTTCCCAGATGTGTTTTGTCCGCTGTATCTGAATCTTTGCTATAAAAAATGAAAGAAAAAAACAACACGCAGACTGGTCTAGAGCAGATAAGACCACAGGTGGTGCCCTATACACACTGCGTTGCGCATAGCCTGAAAAAAGTTGCTTTCAAGTATGATGTGTTCGTGGTTTTTCTGCACCAAGGAAACTGGGTGGCTTATGCACACGCATTGAGAGAAAGAAGAAACCTCAGTGTGAAGCGAAGCATGGGCAGATTTTTGTAAATTGTGTTGTTGGCGTGGTGTATGCAATTCCACTGACTTGTGGAATGTTGTACATAGGCCAAACAGGTTGTTGTGTGAATTTTAAAGCCTGGGAACATTTTAAATCGTTACAGAAAGGAACAGGCTCCAATTTAGCCCTTCATTGTAAACAGTATAAATGTAAGCCAGTTTTGAACGAAATCAGGATTTTGGGCAGAAGCCATGACAAATTGGCACGTAAAAAACTAGAAGCTTCTCACACTGCAAAGAATGGTGATGCATGTTGCAGTGATAGCTCCGTGGCAGTGCACAGGAAGGATAAAACTTTCCCGGAATCTTTTTTTGTAATCTTGAGTGATTAGTACGGCAAAGATTGCATTGAGTGATTGTGCGTCAGTTTATTGTATTTTGCAACTTTTCTTAAGAGCTTCTAACTTGACCATGTGACTGCATGATCACATATACTTGAGGCATGCGAACGTGAATAAACAGTTAATAGTCTAGCCGCATTCCTGTTTCCTGTGTTCGTTATTTTATTGGCTGGAATTTTTTTTCTGAGGCAATGCACTAACTAGCCCAACAACGAGTGTTATTTGAAGACAAATGTGTGGCAGATTTTTTATCCATTCTTTACTACCACTGATCTTTTAGTTGGAGCACAGCTTTCGACAGCGACAAAATGCAGAAAGAAGAATTCTCATGATTTGGGCTTATTGCTCAAGCCTTGCACCAGCATAGGCAGCCATGCAAAGGCAAGTTGGAACCAGTTGCATTGTCATCACCAAAAGGTAGTATAGATAGATGGCCACTCATACTAGGCATTTGACAGGCTGATTACTATTATTTTCAAGTCGTCAAAAGCTAGATGAAAAATGGCCACAGCGTGACCCGCCATCATCCTTCAGGCATGAAAAACGTTGCACTGCTGCTGTTCCTCTGCATTTTGCAACTGACCACACTGCACAAGCTACTGTCTTTCAGTACGAAAGTTAGTTGCTAAACAAAATGTAAACAGAACCACTGTGGCACACGTCACTCATTCTGCAATCTTGTTGGCTTGTTGAGATCATGTGCTCGTTGTGTTCACTCAGCCAGACTAGAATGCAGAATGTGGAACACACAGACCATACTACAACACTCAGAATAAACTACAAGCTACAATATGTCATTGCTTCTGTGCAGTGTTTTACACAGCAAAACAGCAGATGCACTTGACATTGGATATAAAAAAAAGAGACCTGTTTGGCATATTAGGAAACAGGCCAGTGCATGATGAGCAACAGCAGATACATCATGCCCATTCCTGGCCTTTCCTAGCAGGATGACTGACCACTACAAAGCTACTTACAACAAACTTTGCAGTGAATGACAAACACTTTTTGGTAATGGCACAAGAAAGTTAACAAAGCGCACATATTTGGGTTGCAGCAGAAGCATTCAGTGCACGAATGCACAAGCTCTTAAGCTCTTGAGGCTTATCACAACTCAACAAGGTTTCAACAACACATGTGTCAGCTACTAAAGAATACAGTGACAACAAAGGCAGGAGGTACCAAAAACGGCCAAACTTTGCAAATGGCACCACTGGAGTGTACGCCGTACAAGCAATAAAATTGGGCCAGTTTCAGTAGCTGCTAGGTTATGCAGCTGTTGCCTTCATGTACATCCCAAAAACTTCCCAACTGATTGTAGAGGGGAATCCATTTACTATTATGTAGTTCTTTGTCTAGCTAAGTATTTAGGTATTGTGCCATGCTAACAAAACAGTTTTTAGAATACTTTTCACTACATAAACCAGCTGAATTGTATATATGCCCATTAAAATCCTACCCTAGTCCTGTACCACAATAGGTGGCTTGGTAAAAGCACTAGGTCTTCATATGTTAGTGCAACAAGTTCCGTGCTTGCTGCAGTTCCGTGCTTGCTGCAATTCATTTCCCTAGCTAGAGAAACCTTTATACCGATGCACTGCTCCACAAGCGTTGATTGTGTTGCTCAGAAACACACAAGTGCAATAAACGGCTCAGTAGGTCACATATGAAACATTATGACTACCCTAAACATGCGTCATGTGTGAGTAAGTCAAACTTGCTACTGCGAACTTAAGCTTGTATTCAATTGGTGCCGAGACACTCACCAGCTTAAGAAAATGAAAATAAGGTAGAAGACAAACACGTAAGATAATTCAGCACATCTTACCAATTTGGTACAGTTTACCATTTTGCCAGTTGAATCTGCAAAATGCAAATTTCTGCTCATACTACAAGAAATCCAGACATGAGCAATGAGGCTCAATATTAAAAAATCTTAGAACTCCCAAGTTGAAAAAAATTGTAGCAATGTACATTAGACAAGGTGAAAGCAGTTACAAAAACAACTAAAACATCTGAGTAGTCAAGAAGGATAAAAGACATTGACGAACATGCAAATGATAATGTTTTACACCGGTCTTAAAAATGTGAACAGACCTGCATGCTACTGAGTTGCCCAGATGTACCAGCTCACTATTTACCTACACCAATTGCAGTTTACACCACAAAAAGGAAGTAGCTCCCAGAAAGTTTTTATTAAAGCTAATCTGCTATCAAAGCTAATCTGGCCACAGAAATCTCTGCACTGAAACACAATGGTGACACCAAGTGCATCTTATATTAACTTCTTTGAGCATTCAGGATGAAAATCTTTGCCAAAAGATGTTGCTACCACGCAGAACACATGCTGATCATAGTATGTTTGGATCCAGAGCACAGCCATATGTTACGGCCACAACGTAGCTATTTATTAACTAGCTTGTCGCAAGTGCACTTGCGAAACCCAGACCACATTTTGGGAGCCCCAGAAAGTGCTGTGAATTGCAATTAGTGCGAAAACGAGCACTATTTTTAGCCAATGTCACCAATTCTGGTTCGCTAAAACTGTTCCTATCTTAGGCTTGCAGACAACAGAAATCTGTTATATTACATGAATCCTTCCAATTGCAAGCAGGAAATCAGCACTGCTAAACTGTGACAGGATTTCACTAATTTCAAGAAGGCTTCAAGCCTCTCACCTTATCAAACTGAAACTCCGTGTAAAACTGGCAGTGTTCAGGTACCGCTACTACACCAAACATGTGCAAACAGCTCAACGACAGATCACAAGGTGGTTCCTACAGCAGTGCTAAATGTGCACCACTGACAACTGCGGACAGACTTGGCTCAGCCCTGTGTGTCACAACTGGCACCGTAAGGTGAGACACACTACCCACAAGAATAACAAGTTGTCAGAGGGCTTGGACGGCATGGAGCAGTGGGGAGGTCCCTTCTTCCAACACTGCTCAGTGGCACCATTCTGGTGATCATGCCTGCTTTGGCAAAACACACTTCTCAGTGATACCAGCGATAGTTTGTGCAAGCTATTGCACCAAGTAGTGGTCACGCTGAGCATATTGGTAATGCTAACTGCAGATCGATTACCAGTCAGCCTAAGGGTCAGAGCACTTACAGGGGGCCGTTGCAGGCAGGACCCCAAAACTGGCGCTATCATCAAACACCAACGGGTGCACTAATTTCAGACGCTTCGAGCACGGGCTACAAAATAGGAGGCAGTGTATCCAGCAGCTACACCAGTGGCAGTTTACCAGCTGTGGAATTAATTATTTTATGGTGATTAATTGCCATTAAAACTGCTGGGGACTCATCGTTGACTGTTTCATTGATATAAGCTTAACTACAAGACACTTGTTTTGAACCCTCACTAAGGGCAAGTAGTCGGGGAAGCGTTAAAATACCCAGGTCACTGGCAAGCTCTCTGAAATTGTGACTGCTCAAAAGCACTCCCATCAGACATTGAACATGTGCCAGGACACCGCTCTTCCCGTTATCAGAGAGACTGCCTTCAGACAGAGTTCACAAAACTGCTTCCAAATTAAAAATTGAAACTCTATGCTTTCCAGCTCGAAACCAAACATCACAACAAGTTCAGAATGCATGCTCACAATAATGAATGCGAACAATCTATATGAGCCCACTAGACAAACAACAAAGCTGGGTAGAGGGCAGCCTCCAAGGAATGTCAATGACTCCTCAACACCATCCCCCTTTCACACAAACTGAAGGAAGAATGGCAATGACACTAAAACAACAAAGTGCACTTTTGACAAGCAAAGACATCACAACAAAACTAGAGGGATACAGGAAGGCAACAGTACCAGTTAAAACGAAAAGCCTGATGAAAAAGAGGCATTGGCATGACTGTGAAAAAATAAGAACACACACATGCACTGCTTTAATAGACACAAAGTGCAAAAACACTCAAACTTTCGATTGGAGGCACTGCTGTGTGCAACCCCCCCACACGGTTTGCAAGCTGATGTTCTGGCAGTGAAGCAAGAGCAACGAATGCTCAATGGAGCTAGCTACCACCACAGCTGACAAGTACTTCCACCTAGGGACACTCATCAAGCTTGGCATACAATAGGTGAGGCTGAGCAAGCACCTTAGTGCAGGTCCCAGTGGTGCTTCGAACCACCACAGGCAGAGAAGGAAGGTCTCTACAAATACCCGGACAAGTGAAGTCATCGCTCAGGGGGTTTCTCTCGATGTGCTCGAAGCCGGGGGCGGCAGTGGCGCTTGTGCAAGGGCCAGTCGCGCTGCTGGCAGAAGAGGCCACAATAACGGGCGGCTTGGCAACGGCCACAGATGCTGAACTCCCGGGGCTCCCGCTCCAGGCTGCTACAGGGCGGATAGTGGCACTCATAGTAGCAGCCACCTTCCTCTGAAACAGTACATCGCCTCTTAATCATAGGTCAGCAAAACTTGTGTGGCCCACTCAGATTCATGAAATATATTCTGAGCTTTGGACTCAACCTCAAAAAAATTTTCCAGAGCCTGATTCACTCCAACTAATGAAAATTTTCTTCAACCGAACTCATTCGGACTCAAACTCACCAAAACATGGCTCACCCGAACTCACGGCTCAGTCTGAGCCCGAGTGAGCAGACTCATCGAGTCCATTAGTCTAGGATTGGCTTCTTCGACAATGGTGTCAATGCTCTTCAATACCCATGTAATCAGTGCTCTTCTTGGTGCCATGTTAAAAAACGGGTCACCGATCAATGTCAAACAAAACAAATGACGTCTCTGAATTCGTACGGATCCCTTGTTCACAATTTTCTTTGACATTGGTTAGTGACCTGTTTTTCAACAACGCCTTTACCTGGCCATCAGTATTCCGTCGAACTCTCGAGTACCTCTTCTTGGTGCCGTTTTACATAGTATTTTCAACAACAACTCCTGAGTGCTTTCAAACTTGTAAGGTCATTTTTTTTTAAAGTGATGACAGCATAAGATATATATTCATTAAGAACTTCCATCAAAGACTTGATGGGAGGGAGATCAAGGCACTCCCCTATGCAATTTGCACCTCTGATCAATAAATGTTGATATCATGTGTGAACGACACTGCTTAGAAATATATCTGCGAGTAGATATGAGTATAAACTTGAATACAGACAAGGCTGATAATACTGCCGAAGATGAGTAGATAACAGTTTCGTTCGGCAAAATAAAGTGGAACTCACTCAGACTCTCAAGAAATATATCTTAATCTTAGGACTCGTTCAGACTCGGACTCATCAAAACTTTCTTGAGCCAAACTCGCTCGCACTCACAACTCACAAAAATTTTCTTAAACTGGACTCACTTAGACTCCGACTCGCAAAAATGTTACTCACACGGACTCGCGGCTTGACCCGAGTCTGAGTGAGTCCCAGTGAGTCGACTCATGAGTGAGTTCACCGACCTATGCCCTTAACCCACTGGTGACCAGTCAATTGAACAGCCATGTTTTATTTTTGGGACTCTTGTTAGGGCACTACAATGTTTACATTGCAATCTGTTGATTCACTTGGTCCTTTGTTCATTTTAAAAAAAGAACCACCCAAGGAAGATGCCGAAGAAAAATCTTTTGGTAAATCACCCTGTGAGCCTGACAACTGTGCAGATAACATCGACTTCATTTGGCAATCTAGGTGCTCAGTATGAGCGATATTAAAAATGTTAGACTGTTATCTACAAGCTGGCGCAGCATAGCCAGATCTGATGAAAACAGTATTTATTTGGGCATTTTATGCAATAAAGACTGAAAAATGCACACTAGTCATTGAATAATCTGCCATTGTCAAAGATATGCCAGTGAGCATGGGTGTGTTGCAAAGACATTTAAATCTGAAACTCTCGCCCTTTTCGCACCTGCCTGACAGAACTGCTCTCTCGTATTGACGCACTGCACATGTGCCCGCCAGAAATGTTTTGCAAGAAATTTTTTTCGGTGGAGGGAAGGTGGGGTTGCATCATACTTTATGAATGCTTTTGCATGTGTTTGTGTGCATGTACCTATAAGCAAGCAAAATTGAAAAACTTCGGGCAGGGTTTAAACCCCCCCTTGGCTACACCCATGGTGTCCAGGCTGTGAAAGAGAAGAGTACGGGCAGGGGCACTACTGTATGAAGGAGGAAGCAGCTCTTGTGCATTATAATTACCGAGTTTTAACATCCCAAAACCATGATAATGTTACGCAAGAGGCCACAGTGAAGGACTCCGCAAATTTTACCACCTGGGGTTCTTCAGGTGCACCTAAATCTAAGCACACTGGTCTCAAGCAATCAAAGCTCCATCGAAAATGCGGCTGGGATTCAAATCCCACCATTCTCGGGTCAACAGGTGAGCATAACCACTATGCCACGAGCTGGCGTATTAACCCAGAGTACAAGCTCCATCCTTTGTTCCAAAGCTTTCAACTTGCGCACATGAGCCAGCGAAAAAAATCCAGACCCAACTGGGTTTGATCGCAATCGAAGTATGTCGCGACGCATGCATAACTTAGTCATGCGCTTGCGAGGATTGATTTCTGTGAATGCGCTGTGCTGCATGGTTAATCTGAATGACAATCTTCGGCGATATTTTCTAGTCTTCTTGATGTTTCTTGGGCACCACAAGCTAGACATACGCCTTGCCGCGGTGGTCTAGTGGCTAAGGTACTCGGCTGCTGACCCGCAGGTCGCGGGATCCAATCCCTGCTGCGGCGGCTGCATTTCCGATGGAGGCGGAAATGTTGTAGGCCCGTGTGCTCAGATTTGAGTGCACGTTAAAGAACCCCAGGTGGTCGAAATTTCCGGAGCCCTCCACTACGGCGTCTCTCATACTTTTGGGACGTTAAACGTTGCAATAATACCTGCTCCCATCGTTTGCTCAACTATTAATTACAATTACCGTATCTTGTTTCCAGTGACTCTGCTGGTCTCTGGCATCAACCAATTTGTTTACCAGCAGCTCAGCACATCACGGCAGCTTACAGAAGAGAGACGTTCGAATATGCAATGAAGAATGACAGCATCAGGACAAAATCATTCTGAATGCCCTGAACTGCAGACAGCTGCAAAAGGCCTGACAGCCTGGCGCGAATAACCGCCGCAAATTCTCGCGTACATTCCTGGAAAGTCCTTGGTCGTACTCGCCACACGTCAACCCCCACACAGTACACAAAATATTTTCGTGGAAGTTCTTGCTGCACACGTGATAATCAATGCTCGGTTGTTTCCCCACACCGCCGCAAATTCTTGCGTACATTCCTAGAAAGTCCTTGGTCGTACTCGCCACACGTCAACCCCCACACAGTACACAAAATATTTTCGTGGAAGTTCTTGCTGTACACGTGATAATCAATGCTCGGTTGTTTCCCCACTCTCGACTTTATCAAACACGCATCCCACTGCTTCTTAATTTAGCGTACGCTCGAAAACTCATACCAGGGCGAGAAGCAGCGCATCATGCGCTCATTTAACCATACAAGGGCTAAACGAATGGTGGCCGTGATTCCAGGCTTCAAAAATTGTTCTTTTCAGCCTGGTGCAAATAAAGGCAACTTCTTATGCCTACAGATCCACCAAGTACATCGTCATGCGCCCACCAAACATTTTTACCAGACGCAAAGACTTTTCGGATGCAATGACGCTTAAAAAGAAAGAAGTGGCCGCTGAGTGAGCTGCACATTTGAGGATGAATGCAGAGTCGTTTCGCCAATTTCATTTATCAGTCAGGTGTATTGCGTGACATTTTCAAAGAGCTCATTCACATCAAGGCTCACTCGAATGCATTAGGTACTGCAGCAATGGGTGTATAAACAAACCTGTAGGTTAGAAATTGAACAGGATTGGGGTTGAAAGCAAGCGTGCTGCACTGACGACGGCATAGGCGAGTCACGGGATGACGTCACAGGAAAGCAGTGCTGGTGTTTCCAGTGGTTGCCCTCACTCCCAATATTGTCGATCATATTTGCTACCCCTTCCTGTCCTTCAAGAATTCCAGTTATCAGCTTGAAAATGCTCCGATACTGAGGTAATGTCAAAGGGAAAGCGGCAGAAATAGTATCAGCCAAACGGGTTTAAAGGTTGTGTGTGAGCTCTTGCCAGTCCGCAGTAAATGTTTCTTGGAAACTCAGTGTTGCATCCAGTTGGAGAACACTGTTGCATTTCTAATAAGCCCGAAGACTTGTTCAACCATTGGGAAAATTGCCGCTCTTGAAATAACACTTCATTTAAACAGTTTAAGTCAACACAACGACTAATCTCCTAATACTTTAGGGACCACCACCAGTCCAAAGCACCATAGTGGATCATCGATGTAGCAAATCACTTTGCCACTCTCGAGCTTGTAGATCTCATACCTTACGGTTTCTTGTAGAAAAATAAGCATGCGACAAGCTGCGCTGAGAGAAAATGGTGTAGCATCAAACATTAGGCAAATTTGACATTCCTCTTTGAGAGTGCCAGGTGTCCAGAACAGTTCAGTGTGAAGTGATGCCTCGGGTGCCTGCACTCCGCCAAGGAATTTACCAATATCGAGGGCTTGGAAAGGGAGCGACACATTTCTTTGACAATGTTTAAACATGCCTCGCCTACTTTGCAGATCCTGCCACTTGCAATCAACTGTAGAGGATCAAGCTATCAACTTCCTGTCTTATTCAGCTCAACCTCCTTGTCACAGGTGACAAAGGGTGACATCATCATGACTGTCCAGTAGAAAATTCCAGCCGCGGAACATCACCAGCAGAAAAGCACTTAAAGGCATCATTGAAACGACTGACCTTCAGTGGGATCGGAAGCGTTTCTTTGACACTGTTCAAGCACATCCGGCTTGCTTTACTGTTGCCCTGTATCCCAATTCCATTTAAGTGATCCTTTTCTTATTGCTCTTCTGCTGTCAAACGGTTGTTTTTAGGTGTATTGTGGACAGACTTGATGTTTATGCTTTCGGGTAGTGCTGAGACCAATCCAGGACCTACTACTGATGAACTGCTGCAACTAATACTAGCTAAGCAAATGCAGATTTAAACTCGTCTTACTCACATTGAAGGTAAACTTGAAAGCTTCTCTGAGTAATTGGCAAAAGTAAAAAAGCTAAAGACTACCATTCAAGGAATCGAAAGCGCATCTGAACAGCAATAACAGTGACTGAGTAACAGGATCTGAGTAACAGACATATTTGCTCAGAGTCTTGGTTTAGCGTTGTCTGTGGAAAAAATTCACAGAATCAGCCAAAAGAAGGGTGGTCATCCAAGACTGGTTATCATAAGATTAAACGATTACAAAGAGAACTTAACTATCTTGAGAAGCTGTAAAGAATTGAAAAGGAACTGTAATAAGTGTGTCCGACGATTTCTCACTGGAAACTCTTCAGAAAAGAAGCTGCTTGGGCATTCTGCTAAGAAAGATAAGC